TCCTCAGTGACAGTGAGGTCCTGAGCTCCTCCAACAGTGAGAATAGCCAAGTTCATATCAGGAAAACCAGGGTGTCAAGCTCCTCTGGGAGAACCACCAGCACCACCTCTTCCTCTCCAGGAATGCTGCGGGCAACAATCCTCAGGTGGGCCCTCCACACCCAGCACCACGCTGGTTCAGTTCAGCTGGGAGTTACAAGCTGACCACCGGTTGTCAGTCCGCCACAAAGAAAGACGGACAAAGCAGGGCTCACCCACCAGTGTGCAGCAGCGCACCCAGAACGCGTTTCTCCTGGTCGCTGCCTGTTTGCTCTCTTCAGCTACCATTTCATCTTGAGCTTGAATGAGAACTGGAGAGCAAAGTGCAAGGCGGATATAAAGAAGGCCTAATATGTCACTTGTCTAAAAGCTGGGTTCTGATGTCTTCCCTTCGTGAATCCTTTCCCCCCTCTCTCCTGGGCCACAAGTTCCTCCCTCCTCAGGGGCCTCAGGCCCACGGCCCACCCTCCCATTCACACCTGTACCACCTGCCAGCTGTAGCGTGGGTTACGATGCACCGTCCCTCTTGGTGGCCAGTGTGCCTTGGAATCCCATCTCTCTAGGGACCCAGTGATACCGCATCTTCTGCGAAACACTGTAAAGCTGTTTCCCACCGGGGCACCCTGTCCAGGCCCCTGCAGTCGCTTCAAGGCAGGCTGCACCTTCCAGTTGGACAGCTGTCCTTGCAGAGAGCAAGAGGGGATGTGTGGGGGCCCAAGAAGCTGAGACTGGCCCAAGGCGGAAGACAGAGAAACCTGTATTTCTGTGCCTGCTATGAAAAGGTAAGAATGGCATTTTTTAGAAGTTTTTTCCACTGAAATGCGAAAATGTAATTTAGCGGTTCTCAGTGGGATCTGAGAGAAGTGTTAGTTTCTATTTATTATGTGGCAAGCGCTAGCGGATAAAGCCCTGTGCATTGCTTTGCATTTCAAACAGCTTCATGACGTTTGTCTCACACAGTGTGCATTTCTAAAGGTAAGTCATCTTGGAACCCTATCTTGAAATATATTAATGGTAATTTAAATGGCACGTTAACTTTCCATCACTGTAATTAAGTATCTGGGCTAATGATCTCGTAAAGAGGAAAGGTTTATTTTGGCTGAGTGTTGGAGGTGCAGTCCACGCGGCTTGTGGATCCGTGGTGGCGCGTCACGGCGGGAGCGTGTGGCTGAGCCAGACTGCAGTGTGGCCAGGAAGCCAAGGACAGAGAGGCCGTGCCGCAGGCGCCTTCGAGGACCCACACAAAGTGACCCCAAGGCCTCTGCCAGAGCCCACCTCTTAGAAGCTCCTGTGAAGAACACTACTCTAGGGGCCAAGCCTTTCACACGTGGGCCTTTGGAGACGTTCAACACCCAAACTACAGCAGATGACTGGGCAGACATGGTGGTAGCTTTTTTCCAGGCCTCACTTGTGCTAGGCAAGTGCTCTACCACTGAGCTATACCCCTAATGCTAGCATTTCGTCAGAGCTACCAATTATCCTGTCTCGATAGAGACCCCTCAGCCTTTCTCTTGCAGCATCTATTATTCTTCAGTTGAATTCCAGGTCAAGTTATTTATTCTGTAATACTTGGAACTGAACCCCAGGGCCTTTGCACTGAGCTGCATCCCCAGCCCTTTGTATTTTTTGAGACAGCATCTTGCTAAGTCAGTAAGCTGCCCAGGCTGTAAATGAACTTGAAATCCTCCTGCTTCAGCCTCTGAGTGCTGGGATTACAGGCACATGTCCCCACACCTAGCTTCTGGTCAGGTAACTTACAGATCTCAATTTCTTTGGACTTCATTACTGGCATGTAACTGTGTTCTTTTGCAGTCTCATATTTACTTGATTTTTTTTGTGTGTGTGCTTACTGGAGCTTGTGTTGCTATCTTTATGAAGAAGACCCACCTCCTCTAGTCCTTACCGACTGGCTTTTGGGGAAAAAGTGTCTTTACCAGAGAGCCTGGTGAGGGATTCTGAGCAGGCATTTTCTGTGGTCTGCCTCCTCCATGCTCTTGTTCTCTACAGGACAAATTCTTAAACTGTGGGTTACCCTTGATCCTGCAAAGTCTGGCCTGGTGCTCAGAGCTTCCGTTTACTTTTCCTGGGGTGACACATGGAACACTGCTATGGGGATACCTTTGCCCAATTCTGGCGCATCAGGCCGTGGTCTTCACGGGACACCAATGTCGCTGCACTCGGGGCGTTCAGGGGTGAGCCTGGGGCGGGGTGGAGGGCGTGGGGAGCCCCTCTGGGTGCGTACCTCTTGCTTCCCCAGGAGGAAACCACACACTGGCAGTCTTTCGTGGCTAGCTCACCCTGCTTTAAGCCTCTTCAATGCATCTGTTGTGATTTCCTTTTGCTTGAACTGTGCGATGAGACCTCTACCCTGGACCTCCCGACTCCCTGACTCCCACAGGGTATCCGTCTGTGGGCGGTCATCAAAATCACTGTTTCTGCAGGAGGATGGGAGTAGAAAGTTCCCATTCTATGCTCTTGCCGACGCCACTCTCTGAAGTTATTTTTAAATGAATAAAATATTTTCGTTTCTGTTTTATCCCTGACCCTGGAGGCCTTTGCTTCCTTGTGTTCCATAAACGACCTCTTTTCCTCCTTGGCCCACTGTGAAATCACAATCCCTTTGACTCCCGGGTATGACTAAGTACCGGAACTCTTTTTTTAAAAAAGGCATACAAAGTTAACATTAAAAAAATAAATTTATTTTAAGTCTGAAATAATGAAGAACAAGCTTTTTACGGACAAACTGTAAAAAGAACAAAAATTAGAACATGAATAATGACATGAGAACCAAGCACTCTTCCAGCTAATACAAACATATTTTTACATACAGACACTTTAAAAAGACACTTCTCTAACAGTCTCAAAAAAACAAAAGCTGTATTTGCAACATTTATAAATGCAATACTTCTGACAGCATCCAGGTTTTGTTTTCTAAAATCATTTGCTTAAAATATACACAAATGATTACCTATGCTATTTTTGAAAATTAAGACACAATTATATGACATTCTTGTTAAGACATAGAACAACTTTCACAAAAATTGCAGAAAAATTATCAATTAATTTTATATTCTGTCACTCATATTTCACTCCCTTTTAAATAAGGGCAAAGAAAACATGTATGTGTATGTTTCAGAAATAAAGTATTCCAACTTTTATCTGTAATTTGTTCAAAACCTCAGAAACTCAGTAAACATGATTATTTGAAACAATAAAAAGAATTATTTGGGAGAAACCTTAAAATATACTTTTGTCCAATTTAATCCATGGTGTAAATATCAAGAGAAGCTAGCAATGCGACATACTCTGCGGGAGCTCCTACAGACAGACTAAAAAGAGATCCCGAATCCCTGCTGTCCACAGGGTAAAAGTCACGATTGTTCACTCAACTGTCCTACTTTGTACTTATTGAGTTCCTCTGGCACACTGATTTAGTCTACTCCATAATGAATAGCATCTAACATTTTAAAAAGATCTTTGAGATCCAAGTGAAGATTCCACAGGTTAGGAAAGTTCTCCTGGGAAGGGTAAGTAAGTCGTCCAGGGTTACAGTGGCAGAGAGCAATACACCCAGGACATGGAGCCAGAGTCCCTGACTCTTAGCTATGTTCTTGTGGTAACAGAATACATTCTCTACGGTCAGATTCTACATAATTTATAGCCATTTGACTACAGACACTATTAGAGTCTCACTATAAATCAGCACATATATTCCACTTAAGTCAAAACTGTTATTCACATAAACGCGTTCGTTACCTGACTGGATTTTTGGTGTGCGTGAACATAATGTAAATATCGTGGCAGAGCAAATGTCATTACTGTAGAGATACTGCGTCTAAGCTTAGAGCGACACTGAACTTCCGTGAACGGGACACAGCGGCAGGCACGGCGGAGGCGTGCTTGGTCCCGTTCCCCTGACCCTGAGCGCGCAGCAGCGGTCTGTCCCAGCAGAGCAGCGCCGCCCAGGGCCGAAGGACAGGCCCCGCTCCCCGGGCACTGGTGGGACGCACGCCTGCGCACGGCGCTCCTCCGAGGAGCGCGGTCACAAAGGAACACTATCATCAGGACAGGTGGCGTTTCAGGAGCTCCCCACTAAATGGGGACACCAGGCCATCCGAAGTCACAGACCTTCCAGGCAACACACAGGGCGTAATATAAGAAATCACGAAACCATAAAAAATATATATTGAATTTTCTTGGTAGAAAGTTGCATACCGAATAAAAGAAGGCAGTAAAAAATGACACTGAGTATAAAACGCCTGTTTCAAGCTGGACTGAAAAGTTACAGTGTGAGCATTTATCCATGACAGGAAGGCAGCACGGAAAACAACTCAGACGGCGTGCCCTGACTCCCTGCTTCATCAGGGACACAATTCCGTGGCCACACTCGCGTTTACTCTGCACAGAGCAGATTCTGTGGCCATCGACAGGGCCTGCGCCAGAGCACTGTGCAAAAGAAGTACAAGAAACGGACAAACCTCACAGTCGTCTGGACGCCTGACCCCGCGCTGCATGGCGGGCGGGTTAGGGCAGTGTCGGCGTCCTACTGCATTGCACACTTGGGAGCTCGGCCGGCGCTCAGCACAGGCCAGCGCCTTGGTCCCAGGAAATATTTTATACAGAAGCTGCACACACTCTTCCATGTCTTACAGGAACTGGACCCCCACAGTATCACTAGAGTCATCTAAACTTCCATTTTCTAAAAAAAAAAACCAGGGGATTGAAGGCAGGGCCTTGCACATGAGTGCTAAGCCTAGTGCTAAGCCTTATCCCCCGCCCTTTTTTAAGACAGTGTCTCACCAAGTTGCTCAGATTGGCCTCAAACTTGTGATCCTCTTGCCTCAATTTCCTAAGTACCTGGGATTACAGGTGTGCACCACCACACCCGGTAAGAAAAAAATTACTTTTAAAAAATAAGTGGCCAGGTATGGTGGTGCCTGCCTGTAATCCCAGGACCTGGGAAGCTGAGGCAGGAGGATCACCACGAGTTCAAGGTCAGCCTGAACACACAGCCTCTCAAAAAAATCACAAAAAAAATGGCAACAGATTACTTTCAGACATGATATATGACTGAAAATGGGACACGAGATGAATGGTAGTGTTAACATGATGTAGCAAAAGTATTTTAAGTAACATATTGCTTAAATAATTAAGCAAAATAATAACTGTTCATTTAAGCTCGTAAGTAATTTTCAAGTAATTGTCCGTCCCGATCACTCTAAGCCGAGCTTTGCTCCTCACACCTCCCCACAGATCTCCCATGCTGTGTTCCAGTGACTGAGGGATGACAACTTTTCCCTTCCCTTCAGATTGATGATTCCGACTGATCGGATAACGTAAGGGCCTTTGGCTTGTGATCTGTGGGACTGTCAACTGGAACCTGTGAAAAGAATCAGAATAGAATCAATGTACGGCACCCGGCAAGTGCTATTTTAACAGACCAACAGCTGATTCAAAAAAAAGCTGACTAAATAAGAACGGTCTCACACTCCATGCATACTTTTCTCAGTGTATAACCGTAAAAGGGACCACTACTTACAGCCGTCACGTCAGCATTTTTAATGCCGATATTTATGTTGTGTCTCCTCAGATCAGACTTGATTAAGGCTGAAACAGAGAACCATAAATAGAGTTACCATGAATTGTGTTGCATTTTTCTCCAAGCAGCAGTCTTCCCTCAGCATTATCAAACTGAACACACTGCAAAGCCGTATTTAACAGCATCCTTGTAGCCTAGAGAAGGTACCTCTCTAAGACTATCTAATTAGCAAGTCATTCATTAGTGAACAAATTCCCCAGTGGATTCTCTACGGCAGTATCAGCATCTAAACAGTTATAACACTGTGTGATCAGCTGTGACACTGCAGATAAACTTGGGCATGTGGGAGAAAAAAGTGCCTCTGCCAGCCAAAGGGCCCCAGGGAAGGCCGGGCAGGCCCTGAGACCAAGCGACACCTCAGACCCACACCTCAGGCAGCGCACCTGACAGCCACACAGCTCACCAATGAGGGCAGCGAGCGGCCGAAGCACAGCCTGAGATCGCGCTGCTGGGAGGTGGGGAGTGCCTGAAGCAGTGTGGTGTGGTGGGCAGGCCCGGGGTGTTTTAGAGTGCAACCAGTAAGATTTGGGGATTTGTGATGGGAAGATGGTGGCTTCGGCCCTGGACAGGTTGGTTATGAGACGGCCACAGGACACCCAGGTGGAAAGACATGACTGTATGTACTGGTCGGAAATGTAATGGAGGTCTCGGTCTGCAGATGCAGAGTTCTACGTTACTAGTGCTAAAGGAGGAGTGTGAAAGCCACAGATGTATCAAAAAAGAGTGTAAAATAAGACATAAGCTTGTAGGCAGTAAATAAATTAGCCATAAAACAAAGTAGAAACAAAGATGAAAGCTGGCAGAACACAACAATCATGCACGTAGCACTAGTGGAGGAAGCCCATGTTGCCACAATGACACCTCATTCTTTTTAATGACTGAATAATATTCCACTGTGTGTAGATACATTTTCTTTATCCACTCATCTATACCGATGCAAATCTAGACTGAATCAATATTTTGGGTACTGTGAATGGTGGTGCAACAAACAGGAGTTCAAATTTTTTTTTTTAAATACTGATTTCTTTTTTTTGTTTTTTTTCCGGTACCGGGAATCACACTCACGATGTCGCGCTTGCCGGGCAGGCACTGTGCCGCTGAGCTAAATCCCCAGCCCCATCTTTTGGATACATACTTAGTGGGACTTCTGGTTACCATGATAGCTTTATTTCTAGTTTTTTTTGAGAACTCCATATTTTTTCCCATTATAGCTCTACTAATTCATACTTCAACCAACAGTAGATGAGAGTTCTCTTTCCTCTACACCCATGTCATCACTGTTTGCTTTATCTTTTTGGTAACATCTACTGTAATCGGGATACAATGACTCTCACTGTGGTTTTGGCTTCTATTTCCCTCATTAGTGACCATTAAGCATTTTTCCATATAGTTGGCCATTTATCTTCTTTTGAGAAACGTCATCTCAGATCATTGGCCCATTTTTCACTATTTGTTATTTTGCTGTGGAATTGTTTTCATTTCTTCTGCCTACTGATCCCTCGTCAGATAGTTTGCAAGTAGTTCCTCCTATGCTATAGGTCGTCTCTTTGCTGTTTACTGTGTTGTGCAGCTTTTTAGCTGAATGTAATCTCACTTGTCCATTTTTGCTTTTGTTGCCCGTTTTTGGGATCATACAAAAAAATCTTTGGGCCTGACCAATGTCCTGAAAAATCTCTCTTGTGTTTTCTTTTTGTAGTTTTATAGTTTTGGGCCTTACATTTCTTTTTTCTGGCTACACATTTATTCAACAGAAAATAAAAGTCCTCCGTCTTTACTGAGGTGGCTGATCGTGTCCACAACCAAATCCAGCTCTAAACTGGATTCCGTGGCTGACCTGGCCCCAGCCTTGGCGTTCTTGTTGGTACCAGGAGGCACGGCACTGCATCTGTAGGTGTCTCTGTTGGCCTCCCTTTGTGTGAGCCTCATGGGTCGCACACCCTCCACACCTTAGGGCCAAGGTCTGCCAGTCTCGGGCCAGCTGCAATGCCAGGTGGCAGGCACCCTCTCAGGGGCAGGTGGAGGTAACTGTGGAGCTACTGGATGACTTTGTGGGCAAGGTACCAGTGGAAGTGTCTCCAGGCAAACTGTTCCTTCACATAGCCTTGGGATTTGAGACTGCATGGTCTTCATGCCACGAAGATTGGGCACATTTCTGTCCACCAGCTCTGGTGCTTGGGCATGTGGACATCTGTCCCCCTTCCCTGCTTAAAACGGTCGTAAATGGCAACCCAGCTCTTCTTGGGCATCATCAGCAGCAGCTGTGGGGGCCGAGGCCCAGGCTGGAAAGGAAAGGCGGGTCTCACAGTTAAGCCTCTGGTTCCCTGTGAGCTGGTCTTGTATATTCTGTATTCTCCTCCTGTGGTGTCTCATTCCCCAGCACCACTGACTGAGGAGACTTTCTTGTCTCTGTTTATGTCTTTGTTGGGAACCAACTGGCTAGAGACGTGCGGGCTTATTTCTGGGGTCTCTGTTCTATTCCATTACAAAGCTGGGTTCCTACTGCCTTGTAGAATGTGTTGAAGTCAGGGATTGTGAGGCCTCCAATTTTATTCTTTTTGCTCAGTAATGCTTTGGCTACTGGGGTCTTCTATGGTTCCATAAAAATTTTAGGAGTGTACGTCTATTTCTGTGAAACATCACTGTTGTTATGATAGAGAGCACTGACTCTGTAGACAGTTTTGGGTAGTAGGTATATTTTAACAACTTTAATTCATCCAACCCATGAACATATGATCTCTTTCCACTTTTTCATGTCTTCTCCATTTCATTCACCAGCATTTTGAAGTTTTCACTGTAGAGTTCTTTCTTCCCTAATTATTTATTCCTGGTATTTTACTTTTATGTAGTTACTATAAATTTCTACAGATTTGTTTCATCTAATGTGAGTATAGCCACTTCTGCTCACTTGCAGTTTTTGCTTATTCTAGCCCTTTACTTTGTCTCTGTGTGTATGTTCTGCTAGTGAAATGAATTTCTTTTGGGCAATATATGACTGCGTCTATTAAAAATAGGCCTCTTAAATCCGTTCAGCTTATCTAAATCTTTTACTGGAGATTTTAATCTGTTTACAAAGTTACCTGTCATTTTAAAATTTTTTTCCCCCTGTGTGTATATCCTTTGTTTCTTCCTTGCTTACTATTAATCTTTGTGGTTCGGTGGTTTTCTATAGTCACAAGGTCTGATTCCTTTCTCTTTCTTGTGTGTCTGTTCTACCAGTTAGTTTTATAATGCTGTTTTAATGTGGGAGTGTCCATTTGCGTCCAACTGAACTCTTGAGCATTTTTTAGTAATCAATTCCTTCAGTTTTTATGTATCTGAAAAAGGCACAATTTCCCCTTCACTTCTGAAGGATAGCTTTCTTTACTGGGTACGGTATTCTTGGTTGGCAGTTTTTTTTGTTTTTGTTTGTTTTGTTTTAACGTCCTTGAATATACCATTCTATTCCTTCCTGGCTTGCAAATTTTCTGCTGAGACATCTGCCATTAGTCTAATGGAAATTCCCTTATATGTGATTTGACATTTTTCTCTTGCTATGTTCAGAATTCTTTCTCTTTCAGTTTGTTACCTTAATTATAATGTGCCTTGGAGATGACCTCTTCCAAGTTGAACCTAACTGGAGTTGAGTTTCTGCACATCCATACCTCTCCCAAGACTGGGTAAGTGTTTAGCTATTATTTTGTTAAATATGCGTAGGCTCCCAGAGTGCTGGGATTACAGGTGTGCGCCACCACAACTGGCAACATTTCCGGTATTTTCAGTGGTAGCTTTTTGTTGAGTTTCTCTTTCATATTATGATTTGTTTGTATTTTCTTGTATCTCACTGAGCTTCCCTTAGGTCACTAAATTCCCTTTCAGACATTTTATAAACTTCCTATGAATAGGGAATTACTGCATACTCTTGAGCATTTCATATCTCCTTGCTTTCTCATGTTTCTTGTGTCTCTGTGTTATATGTGCACATCTTTTTTTTTTTTTAAGGAGGGAAGGTTTATTTAGCTCACAGTCTGTGGAGGCTTCAGTCCATAATCAGCTGGCTCCAAGGCAGGGTGGCGTGGCAGAGGGCCAACGGTTTATGGCGGCAGAAGACAACAAAAGCAGCAAGAGCAAAAGGTTGTATGTGCACATCTTATGCAACAGGCATCTTTTCCAACGTTATAGGATTTTGAAACTTTTTTAGGGAGTGCTCTTTCCTGTGAGGGGTGCTAGGCTGTCAGTGGAGTGCAGTTGTATCAGCTTTGAATCTGAGAGGATTCTGTAGTGTGGTCTCTGTACAGCTCTCAGCTGCAATCCTTGCCAGCCATGTCTATGGCTGTGCTGGTGGCCTAGGCTACAGGTGTTTGTGACTACGGTAACGTGGCATGCTTTTGCTGGGGTTGGGGCTGCCGCGTGGATGGCTGTCAGGTTGGGTGTGGGTACCCACAGGTGCTGCAAGCTGGTGGCTATGTAAGAGGACTCTCCACTGGTCGGGGCTGCCATCTGGCTGGCTGCTGGACCAAGCACAAGTGCATGTGGGTTTGGAGGGACATAGGCTTTGTGCTAACTTCTCCTCTGTGCTCACCAGCCTGTTCCCCAGAGAATGGGGACCACATGGGTTTGAATGTCCGTTTCATCCTTTGTCTTGGGCCTTGGCTCTGAGCAGCTGGGCTTGTATTACTACAGCCACCCATGAGCAAGGTGGAATGATGGTGAAGTCTCAAGATGGTGGAGTCACATGCTGTGACTACTAGCCACCAGACCGGAATACAATCTTGCAGCAGATATGGTTTCAAGACGGTGCAGCCTAGGTCATAAGCCTCAAGAGTGTGTAATGGTGGCATCTACTCTGTGGCAATACAGCATATGAACTATGACAGCTCTGTAAACTCTACTCAGGGTCTGACAGCTGGAGGCTGCTGTGTAGTCCTCTGCAGTGGCAGTGGGGATCTTAAGGATCTCTACCTCATCTGTGCCCCATAAGGACAGGTCTGTCTTGGATCCACGCCAGTCTGGGCAGATGAGAGTGTGTGAAAGGTAAGGGACTTCGCTGTCCTCTTGTGTCAGACTCCTTAAGGATCTTACCATCTGCTGCCACTCCAGTGCACTTCCTGTCCCTCTAGTTAGATTATAGTTTGTTTGTGGTGCTTTTGTGTAATGAGAATGAGCAACAGAACTTCCACTCAGCCATCTTGCTGATGTGGCAACACCAGACTGTTTTTTCCGTTTTGGTCTTCTCTTTGCTTTTCAGTTTTGGAGGTTTCTTGTTTGTTTTGCAATACTAGGGACTGAACCCAGGGGTTCTCTACCACTGAGCTACATTCCCCAGCCCTTTTTATTTTGAGACAGGAGCTTGCTAAATTGCTCAGGTGGGACTCGAACTTGCTATCCTCTTGCCTCTGCTTCTTAGTGAAGGGATTAGTTGTAGACCACTATATCCTGGTAGTTTGGGAGGTTTCTATGGGTATATCCTTCAGCCCAAAGGTTCTTTCTTCAGTCATGTCCAGAATAATAAATCCCTCAAAAGCATTCTTCATTTCTGCTACCAGGTTTTTGATTTTCAGCAGTTTTTGGTTTCTTAGACTTTCAGGCTTTCTATACTACCCAGTTTTTCTTGCATACTACCTATATGCATACTGTTTTATTGTTTTAAGTTCCTAATCTGACAATTCCAGTACCTATACCATATCTAAGTATGGTTATGCTACCTGCTATTTCTTTAAACTGTGCTTTTTGCCATATAATATGTTTTAAAAATTTTTTTTTCCTAGCCAGACACGATACACTGGGGTAAAAAAGGCAGCTGTAAAAAGGCCTTAGGCAATGTGGCGGTGAGGTGTCGGGGAGTGGGAGATGGCCAGGGGCCTGGGGGTGCACGTTTTCCTTCTCCCACGTGGAAGCCGAGTGTGCAGGGCTTGGGCCTTTCCTGTCCCCCAGGTTAGCGAGGCTCATGAATCCCGGCAGGGCAGATGCCGGTTAAGTAGTCTCTCCTGGGGCACAGCTGGTTAAGAAGAACGGACTGCTCCAGCCTATCCCAAAAGGCTCCTTCCCCTAGCAACAGGAGGTAAAGTTCCCGGAGTACGAGTCCCGTGTGTGGGCTCCCTCCGGAGTACTTCTCAGAGGTTTTCGCACTGAGCCTCCAGCAACTCTTCATCGCAGTCCTGGATCCCTACAGCAGCGCTGGCTCCCACGGGGTTCCGCTCTCGGGCTTCTGTTCCGATTCTCCGAGTGTGTGTTGTTCTCTCCAAACCGAGAGGCCACGGTCTGCACTGTGCTCCCACTTCCTTTATGGATCTAAGAAGAGCTGCTGACACTTTCAATCTGATCTGCTTTTTACTTGTTTTTAGTGTAGAGTGGCAGTGTGCAAGCCTCTTACTTGCCAGACGAGAAACTGGAGGCCCAGTGTTTTCTTTGAAATCCACACTGTCCCTCATAACTCCGCTCCATTGCTGGCATCAGTATTTTACAAAAATCCTCAATCTAAATTAATTGGCATTTGTAGATGGCAAAGGCATTCATGTAAAACTGGTGTTAAAGACTTTTTTCACTTTTAAATTAATTTTGCATATTTCATTTGTTTGGATTAATATTCATGAGTTTTTTTTAATAAAAATAACATGAGCCAGGCATGTAATCACAGCACTCTGGGAGGCTGGAGGATTGCAAGTTCAAGCCCATCTTTGAAAATTCATTAACTTAGCAAGACCCTGTCTCAAAATCCTAATATTAATACCACCAGTGCTAATAATAATAAATGCAAAGTCCTGGAGATGTAGCTCAGTGTGAAAGCCCTAGGTTCAATCCCTGTACCCCCACCCCCAAATCTGAAAAGGAAGTATGAACTGTTCCCTTTACTTTTGGTGCAACAATAACGCTGTACTTGACAGATACGTTGTTCTTGTCTGGAAATGAAGAACCAACAAATATCTAGGCCACAGCAGACAGCACTCGTATTTCACAGTTTTCTGCGTTTTGTTTTGTGAACTAAAGGTAATAGGGTAAAATTTCCTTGGGACAGGATGTTATTTATCGGGAACGGATACACTCACTCTGAGTGTTGTGACTAAATAACGCTAACCTTAGGTGGCTGTGTGTATCCAAGATAAATCACAGGGAAGATTTCATGATGCAGCTTTAAAGGTCAGGTAATCAAACATAAAGGTTTGATTCACATCCCTCTTATAGGTTCTGTCCTCAAATTAAGTATTACCAATTTGTAAAAATCCCTCTTTGACTATCCATGGATTCTGTCTCTCACACCGGTAAAGGGATGCAGAAAGAAATTCACAGAGCAAAATAACAGCAGAGGGCAACCTGGGCTTGGAAACACCGCTGAGCGCTGTCAGACCAATTCACTGTGTGAAAGGATGCCCCGCGGGGTCTACTGCAGAGCTGTTCACTGGCTGATGGGGAGACAACCCCCCACCTGTTAGGGTCACAGTGGTGATCTGTACCATGAATGTATAGCAGAAAAGACGGAGTGAGCTTTCCTTCTAGATTCTCAGAGAGGTTAAGTAACTAGTCGACAGTCACACAGCTAGTGAACAACAATCAGAATTTGCAGCAGGGTCTTTATTCCTCTGTTACAACAGCTTTGTTTCCTTTATAGAGCCATTGTTTCGATTATGAAACCTCCAAAATGAATTAACAGATTTATAGCCTTAGAAGAAAATAAGCAATATTCTGCTTTTAACCTCATTTTTAAACTAAGCCATGAGGAAGCAATACACATGAAAATTAAATATGCAAGACAACACAAGGCATATACTTTTGCAGGGCGAATACCCCGACTCACCTGTTAAAATGGTGCCCACAAACATCCACAAGCAGAGGAAAATGTTCCCTGTCCTAGGATCATAATCTGTTATGAGCTTTCCTTGAGCCAGTGTGAACAAAATCCCAAAAACCTGAAATAAGAGAAATTAGTTTTTATTAATTTTGCTTCTTTGAAACACATGTACATTTTTTTCCCCAGAACCTTTTAAAACTAATTTTCTTTACATGATTTGGCTTCTAGAAACGTTCACTGAAAAGTGAGACTGTCAAAACAAAAACTCTGGTTAAACTCATTATTCAGCAGACCATTTGGTAAAACAGTCATCAAGACTTAAGAGAGCCAGCGGATTACCTGGGCAGCAGCATTCAGAAGACCGGACGAAGTGCCCTCGGACTCAGGGTAAGTGATTTCAACGGCAAATTCAAACCCCAGGGGGAGGTACCCAGTCATGAAGAAACTAGGGAAACCAAGCCAGAATTACAGAAAGAATTATCAGAGGGGTCCTACCACATCCTGACGGACCGTTCTATGTCAGGCCTATTCCAATGATTAAATACGAGTATTTTGAGGTTGCTATGCAAAAGCGAGGAACCGTTATTAGTAACCAACCAGCTCAAAGTCACAAGAACTGAGAAGCAAAACAATTCCCAAGGTTTTTTTTTCCCTGAGGAAAGATCACTTCTACGCTTTTAAGTCAGCTGTCTTTATAACCAATAACAGTGCTTGGGCTGTGTTAGGCTCACACATGTATACATTTTTCTTCAATAGTGTACCAAAAACCAATTTTAAAGTTTCCTTCCTTTTCCTTTTCCCTCCTTCCTTCCTTTTGCTTTTCTTTCTTACTAGGGATTATAACCAGTGCCTTTGCACTGAGCTACCTCCCCAGCTATTATTTTTTAAATTTTTAATATTTAAAAATAATTTTAAAAATTATTTTTTTGAATTTTGAGATGGGGTCTGCCTAAGTCACTGTTCGCCAGGCAGGGCTTGAATTTGCAATCTTCCTGCTTCAGCCTCTCAGAAGGCTGGGGCTACAGGTGTGCACCACACACTAGGCTGAACTATTTTTGATAGTTTTGATGAATATTTATATGCACACAATGGATCTTTTAGAGTTAAAATACTAAACCTTTGGGTGAACTTAGAAAATCAGTAAACTAAAGTAATAACACTGTGGAATTATAATAGAATGGTATCATTTCTCCTAAACACATCTGATACTTACCCAAGTATCCCTCCAGTAATAAACACGATGATAATGTAGTCAAGGTCCAATGTGAAAGTAAATATAATCATTCCAATAAAAGATAAAATGTAAACTATCACAGTAGTCTGTCTAAAAGAAAACAACAAACTGTTAGGAATTTTTCTGATTCTCCTAATCATATAAAAATCATGTGGACTGCCACTGCTCTATTCATACTACTTTTAAAATTCACCCTTTCTTGTCTACAGAAAACGTATTCACCAGAGCACAGACGTTAAAGATTAAATTTAAGATTCAATAGCAGCAGCCCACAGACCTCACACCATGTCCAGTGCTCAATCAGAAAAGGCTACTCATGTGAGTATTTAAGAAGTCCTAGTCCACGTGCATCATATTTCATGATTCAAATCAAATTCCCCCTCTTCCAAATGCCTTCCCTAACCCCTACCGCATACGAGATTCTCTTCCATCTCCCCTGTCACTTACACCTACACAACTGGCACGGATGACGTCATTTTTAGTCTGTTACATTATCCTTTAACTTTTCCTATGTGAACACCTTATCTTCCCGTAAGGACAGAAATCGTCTGCTGCCGGCCACTGTCCCCATAGGAGAAATGTGCACAACATGAGATGCATGAATTGAAAGGCAGCTACTTTGGGAACCAAAACTACCCAAAGAACACCGCTATACCTACCAAGTTTTCTAACACGTGACGGACCAAAGACTATTGGGAAATTTAACCCTGAACAAGTGTTCCTTTCATCGACAAACTGAACAGATTTCACTCTAAGCTATAATTTATAATAAAGCCACAGACTGTTGTCATAAACCATGGGAGACTTATCCTGGAGAATTTCAAGATCAGAGATATTTCTGGAAGCATTTAGAATAATACAGCAGTACAGAAGCCAGACCTTAAAGTTGTACATGACAGAGGTCCGTATTTCCCTCACAGTTTATTTCCTCCATTCTTCTATTCATGAACAGTTCCATTCACTAATTTTCCCAAGCAGGGCCAGGGAGGTAGCTCAGTGGCACAGCGCCTGCCACCAGCAAGCTCAAGACCCTGAGTTCAATTCCCAGTACAGAAAAAAAAAATTTTCCCAAGCAGATGGGAGAAGTTTTGGCCCTTTAAGATATGTGGCCTGTGGCTACAGATGTAGTTAAGAGGGAAACCACTTGCCTTTCACTCACAAGGTCTGGGGTTTGATCCTTAGCATCTCTCTCTCTCTCTCTCTCTCTCTCTCTCACACACACACACACACACACACAAAGATAAAAGAGAAACCCACTATTCTTTTAAGGCCAAAGCAGAAGAGCGCTGCCACTGGAACCCTGCTCTGGTCTCCTACTTAGTATCACTCCCTCCTTCTTTTATGTTAACATTTTGCCATATACAGGCACAATCAAAATAGTATTTCCATATTATGTGGTATATTATAATGAAATGATACTGTGGTTTAGGGACATTTTGGTCAAAAATCGCTTAGAAAAACAGAAGTCTTATGCTCAACAATAAATTTTTTTTAAGAACAGTATTTGGTTTGTTTTTAAGCCCACAGAAAAAGAAAACAGTAAGATCACGTCTGTCAAAAGTTTCTCAAAAAGAGCTTTTTTAAAAATACAGATGTAAAAAAAAAATAAAATAAAAAAATAAAAAATACAGACGTACTCCCTTCTAAAGAAGTATGCATGGGTACTGTTAGAAGGGAAGAATGTTCGTAAGGTATCCACGTTCTCAAAGCTGAAATAACTATGACCAATAAAATAAAACAAAACATTATGTAGATTATTGAAACTTTCGCTAAATGAAGGGAACCTGCAAGTATTGAGTAACACTTTACACCCCTTAAGATAAAAAAGTAAAGGTCTACAACCAAACCTTTGGCTGCACACTGTACGTGTGTCTCCCATCACTCACTTGTACGTTTTGGTGTAGTCCAGCCATAAGCCACACAGAATGGAGCCCAGCATTCCAGCCACCACCAGCGTGAGCCCGATCCTCCCAGCATTCACTTCTTGATCCTGAAAAGCACACACACGAGAAGCTGGTCAAACACAGATCCTAGAGTCCATTCCTTTACGCGCGGGAATGATCGGACAACATGAGGCACACGTCAGGAAAAATCAGTACGTGGGTTAGAGCTGAGAGGCAGGGGCAGGTAAAAAACAAAACCAGGGAAATACAAAACAAAATGAGAACTAAAAAAGGAAAAATTTCTTTGGTCCTCCATGGTTAAAAGTACAATTTTTGTTAGGATTCTTAAGTAATTTACAGATGTCTGAAAAGAGTTTTACATAATCCAACTCCCTTCTTTTATGAGCAGAGAGGCCAATCAGAACTTGGTATTTGGGTCTGGGGATTTTGCTCAGCGGCAAAGCGCCTGCCTGGCAAGCACGAGGTCATGAGTTCAATTCCTGATACCGAATGAAAAACAAAAACAAAAACAAAAACAAAAGCAGAACTTGGTATTTGCTTCTTCACATTTATATTTGGATTCCTTTGAAATGGTTACCTTTTTCCATATAATCAATACCTTATTTCAAAACAAAATGAAACAGCATTGTCACAGTGGAGTAATTCTCTTTCAGCTGAATGTGGTAGTGCATGGCTGTGTTGAAGAAGGGGATTGCAAGTTCAAGTCCCACCTGAGCAATTTAGCAAGTTCCTGTCTCAAAAAAAGGACTGGGGATGTAGCTCAGTACAAAGGCCCTGACTTCCATCCCTAGCACCACCAAAGGGAAAAAAAAAATTTGTTTTCAAAGTTTTATGAAAGGAACTAAACGTGCTTAATAAAAATGATGGGTGATCACTGCTTTGGATTTAGACTCCAAGAGGCCAGACCAATCCAGAATGGAAGCACCTGTGTCAGGGGCCACAAAGTCACAGTCAACTTGAAAATGGCCCAGGAGAGTCAGTGGAACGGCCTCATACGGGAAGTAGCAGTGTGATGGGCGACCTGCTCCGGGTCCTTGTTTCTGCTGATTCTGCCATTCTCTGCTGATAAAGCCCCTTCTCTCCTCAGCTTTCAGAGCGCCTTTCACTTCTGGAGGGGCCCTGCCTGACTCTACCAGCTACAAATGTGTTCTCATTTAAAACAAAGGTAAATCTTTTATAGCAACAAAACTATAAATCTAAATCTTATGATTATGCCGACAGGCACTACATGGAGGAAAGAAAAATCCTAGGCAGAGTATGCAATATGATAAAAGCAGAAGCTCACCTTATAATATGTCAGTATCATTTGGTTTAATAATGTTGAGACTGAGTAAAATGCTCCAGTCATGATACCTACAATAATGAAGAAGAAATTAAGTACGTATCATTTATCTGTTCGTCAAGTGACCTGGAATACTGTGCAACAGTTATGAAAATATGTATTTTTTAGGCAGCTGCCAATAGTAATGATGGCCATTCCCTTTCAGGATGTGTGCTGATCAATTTAACACTGCCATTCCCTTTCAGGATGTGTGCTGATCAATTTAACGCTAACTTTGCAAGAGAGCTGTGTCATGGTTTGGGTGTGTCCCCCCCATCCCACAGGATCATGGAAGCTTTCCCCAGTGTGGTCCAGGCTGATGGGGTGGAACCTTTAAGAGGTGCAGCCCAGAGCCAGGTCACTAGGTCACAGGGGCGCCATCCTCAGAAGGGACCGACTACCGTCTCACAGGAGCTGTTACAAAGCAAGATGCCCTTACGCGCTGGCCCCTTAGCATGTGGCCATTTCCCATTTGCTTCTGTCCCATGTTGTGACAGTGCGGGTCGACACCCACTGAACAGATGGGGCCACCTGACCTTGGACTTCCAGCCTCAAAAACTGAAGAGGTTAAACACACCTCCTTTCTTTCTGAAGTCCCCAGCCTCAGATATTTTGTGATAGCAATAGAAAATGGTTCAATGTGCTATCAGAGTTGTGTCGTAAGACTATGATTATTTAGATTCAGGTATACTGACCATAAATCATATCCCCACATCACTACACGGTGACCCCTCAAGCAATGCATTACTTACTGAGCACCCATAGTACACTGTCTTGGTTACTCTTCTCTCGTTGCTGAGACAAAATACCCAACACCCAAAGTTAAGGAAGGAAAGGTTTATTTAGCTCACAGTTTAAGGAGGTTTCAGTCTATAATCAGCTGGCTCCAAGGCAGGGTGGCATGGCACATGGGCAACACTTCAAGGTGGCACAAGACGGCAAAAGCAGCAAGAGCAAAGTGGGGGCAGTGGGGAGAGCAAGCCTCTTTCCCTCCCTTATAATGTATGCTGGCTATCCGCCCATGCCCACACCATCTCAGAGTCCCCCTCTTGCACAGGCTCAGGATGAATACCAAAAAACATTCTAGAGCAGGAAGGACACATCCTTTTCACCCCAGGATGTAGAATCGCTGAGTCATTTAGCCAAACCTCTAGATTCCCCAAGTTGACACAATGCATCAACCATAACATACATAGAGCCAATGAACGTTAAAAGCACAACAGAATCCCTATTTCAGAGACTACCTTTGTATCAGATTTAGAGGGCAATTTGTTATACAAGGCAATATTAATGGAAGAGTATTTTAAAAGAGAAAAATAAAAACAGCAGGAATCATCTGAGCAAGTTTAAACTCTAAGGCATCCTCGTACATATTGTATGAATTTCAGCAAGCTTCTTAACCTGAGATTTAAGTGCAGTCTCTCTCTCTCATATTCCAGACACACAAACACTATACAGAATGTAACAAATAACCTTACTCATCACTGAGCTTTGCCGAACATTAACATGCTGTCATCTTTCTTCAGATTCATTTTGTAGACCTTTGCCAATCCTATTCTTCTCTTCTTTCCCAAAAGTCACCCACAGCTTGACCTTGGTGTGTATAATTTTATGTATTACTATATATGCACTAATGCAATCAGTAACTTTGTATAAACAGGACATTATTTAAATCCATTTGTAACTTGCTCTTACGGTGTAACTATTATGGCTTTGAACTCTACCTGTGTTGAAACTTTTCATTCTCGTTCATTAGCTTTCTCTGTTCATTCCACTGTGTGAGTATATTTAGATTTAGTTATCTCTAGTCCTATCAACAGACATCTAAGTTTTTTCCCCAGTTTTCCATTACTGAAAACAAGACTGCAATGAGTATTATGTTTCTGTTCTTACATACAAGGGTTCCTCCAAGAATATACCTAGGAAAACTACTTTTTTTGATGTAATCAAATCACTTCTCAAGGTAACGGTATCCATTTATACTACTAGCAGAGTTTCCACAGCTTCATATTGTAGTCAAATTTATCTTGATCAGAGTTTTAGTTTTTGTTTTCTGGCAATCTGAACCTGCATAACAGTCTATCCTACTCTGGCTTAGATGTGTATGTCCTTTATTACCAGTATGGCTAAGCATAAGGTATGAATAATACACACATATGAACATCCTCTGCTTTTCTCCGAATTGCTTCTTTTTTCGATTGACCTGCAAGTTATTTTTATGTTAGGGTACTAATTCTTTGTCAGTTACATACACTGCAGACACTTTCTCACAGTCTACTCTTTTGCCTTTTCATTTTTTAAATAGCGTCTCTTTAGAAAAGACTATTATTTAATGTAATTGTATTTATCAATATTTTTCTTTAGGATTTATGTTAATTGCATTAAGAAACCCTTGAGAATAACAGACACAGTCTGCTTTATTTGTTTCTAAAACATTAAAGTTCTGAGTTTTACTCTCCGCGCTCTAAGCCCACGCAATTCATTTTATACATGATGTGAAGTACAGATCTCTAACTCCACCTTACTTTCCCCATACGCTCACCTCCCCCAGGATAATTTACTAAGTTCTCTTCTGCCAAACATCGAGTTTTCATGTATTTACAGTGGGCCAGTCATTGGATCAGTGTGTAAATATGCTCGTTTTTCTTTTTCCAAGCACGGCTGTGTGACTTGAAAAGTAACCAAGGTCACACTCTCTATTTTCTGGCTTGGTAACTGTGGAATCGTGTGGAGACGTTGGACTCATGCGGGAGAACCACGCTACCGACTGACACTGAACCTGAAGCATGGCAAGAAATACACTGTGACGTGTTAGGCACTCAACGGTTTCTGGCAGGGTTCACTGCCGTAGAATAACCGAGACTATAACAAGGGACGCACTGGCAGACCCGCGCTCTCTGCTCTGCCCCGCGATCTACTGCCTATCGCTTGCTACTTTTGGCATCTCAATTATCCCAGCTTTATAAATACTGATAGCTAAAAAGAAGTCCCTCCGATCTCAACCTATTCTCAAACTTTAAATGGGTAAGAAGCCCGGCTCGCTGGCGCGGAGCCAGGCATGGAATGCGAGTGCCTAGTGGTTGCAGTTTTATCTGGTAAAGCGAATGATTAGAGGTCTTGGGGCTGAAAAAGGAGTCCCTCATGTGGTTCATGAAAATTTTCTCTATTGTTCTTGGCCCTTGCTTCTCTCATAGGAATTTCAGAAGTAGTCAAATTCCATCACAATCCCTGCCTAAGCAAGACTGCAGGAGGAAATCTGCAGCAGGTCTGAATGGGGTACTGGCCTTGGTTAGCTACTAAGCTTCCATGGAGCTCAGGGATGCGCCTGGACAGACAGGCTTACAGGCAAGGCTGAGGGTACAAGCGCTGCTGGGCCAGGGCTGGGCGCACGCGACTGTACCACACCCTGTAGGACCTGGAATCTAGCCAGAAACCAGGAAGGGCAGCAAGAGTTTGGACGAAGGCCTCTTGTAGCAAGGCAGGTTTGTGGTCTGAGTTTCAAGAATGGTATTATCTGTATTTCAGATAGTTAATGGCAACAGTTGGCATAGTGAGAAATTTTTTGCTCTAAATAGCCTGACCTTGCCAGGCATGATGGTGCACTCCTGTAATACCAGTACTCGGGAGGCTGAGGCAGGAGGATTGCTGTGAGTTCGAGGCCAGCCTGGGCTACATGGTAGGTTCAAGGCCAGCCTGAATTACACTGTAAGACCATGTCTCAAAAAAACAGAAGTAAATAAGTAAATAACCTGACCTCAAAAAATAAAAAACAAACAAACTTGTCTTAGTTCATTTGGTTCCTGAGTTTTAGACACTATTAACAATTCTGAAAAGCTGTCCTAGGAGTGCTACTCCTAATCCAGATTATTGCATGCACAAGATTTCTGCAATCTTATATACAGAATACGAAGCAGAGGGGGATAAGTGTTTGCCCAAAACGTGTGGCATGACCTTCTCTCAAACATCATGCTCCCAAGCTCTGTACCTTTTGGTGAAGGTGAAGAGGCCAAAGAAACTTCCCATCCAGCTGTAATGAAACTAATGCTGAACTCTGCCTATGGAAACAGGCAGAAAGGGTAAAAAAAATAATGGCACAAAATTATAGAGATTAGAATGGAGGTATCTGCAATGGAGGGGTCTCTGTGTGAGCGTGCCTGTGACAGGGACTGGTTCCAAGCTGGGCTGGAAGAGAGTTTTGTGCTGGGAAACAGTGAGGGGTGAAAGAATGATACAAAAAGTCATCTTCAACGACGGCCTTAAGAAATACATCTGGTGTCATACACAACAGTGAGCTGCTTCCTATTTTTGAATTTTAGGTTTAACCTAGACAGGGAAATTACTCACAAAATTAAGGAAGTATTCAAAGATGAGATGGTGCAACATCTGAGATTGGCTTTAAAATATTCCAGGAAAGAAAGAGGGGATTCGATTCCCATTACCGGAAAAACAAACAAACAAAAAAAAAGAAACAGGGGAAAGAGACTAAGCCAAAGTGGCAAAGAGCTGGTGACCTTTAGAGCTGGTGACTGCAGGCACACTTGGGTCCGGAGGAGTCACTGAGAGCAAAGGTTCTATTTCTGTGGCTGACAACACCCACTAAAGAAGCGAGGTACTAATCCAGGGGAAAGAATTTAGAGTTCACATTAGGACGTGATCTGTTACAATTTTAAAATGTTATGTACTAGGGTACATGCCTGGAAACACGGGAAAAGAACAGGACAGCACGGGACAGCAGTGAGTGACTCCTGAAGGAAAGCAGGACAGAAACAGGGTCCCGGGGGTCAACATGAACAGTGTTAATGCAAGACACAAAACCCAAGCTGTCCGAAAACTCTGAGAAGGACCAAGTGTGCTCGTACCTGTACAAGTACAATCAAGCTCTGTTACAGGGCTACAGAGTTAGAAGTGAGGATAAATACCTGTCAGCTACCCTAACAGATCTCGGAGGATGAGAACTGCTTTTAAAAGCCGGGACTGGCTATGGTGAGCTCCTTCACGCCTACTTCTGTGGCCGTAGTCAAAATGACGGCAGCTGCGCGTGGTAAAGAGAGGAAGTGCCGGCATTTCCCACACGTTTGCAGCAGCCGTAGATCCAGCCATACATGGGGCAAAGCACGCTATGAGAAGTCACCAAAGACAGCACTCCTCTATTTGAGATCTACTTTTCCTCGTATTTGAAAATACATAAAATATCTATCTTAGCATTTTTGCTTTTAGTACACAATATAAGCTCATGACTATGCTTAAGTTCACAAACCAATCTCATTAAGATTCAAACCACCATGTTAAATGAAAAGAATCTACAGTGCTCAAAGGTTTAAAATGACTGCAAAGAAAATGCAAGACCACTTACCATAAGAGATCAACAGAAGGACAAAGGGAATGTTTTTAAATAGGTTTCTTATTGACTTCTTATAGGAGTACTCTTCGGGGGGGTTGTTTTGAAGAGCTGCTTGCGCCTGACTTGGTGGGTACGGAGGCTTTTCTTTGAATGCTGAGAAGGTGCATGAAAATGAAAAGAATTGTATATAATTCATACACAGGTAATTGGGTATATTGCAACATATATAACTATAGGTATATTTCTTAGTGAGCAGATAATTCAGTTTAATTTTAAAGAGGCATAAAAGGCTCTTGTGGTGAGGTTTTCATTTTCACTAATTTCTAAGCGAAGACTAGTTTATCTTCAAGCAAATTACCTGCTCATAATCTCAACTGTCTAAATCTTCGAAGAGATTTGGCCAACACCCACAGCTGAGCTGCATCAGTAACCACTGGCTTGACCATTGGTTATTCCACATTTAGTTAGACAAGATTTTATCAAGGATTCTATTTTTAAATTCAGTTAATTTATAATTAGAAGTAGAAATTAGAGTAAGCCAATATACTACTGAACTTTTAGAGCTCTATCTTGAACTGGTAACTATTGTGAAATTTGTATGAAGTTCATCATCTAATCCAATTACACCACTGGGGCTGAAAGTGTGCAGGTGGACCCCTGGGGGGAGGGCTGGGTCTTTCTTGCTGACTCACTAGAGCTGCATATGGAAAACGTAGAGGTAAAACTAAGACACACGAATGTGTGGGGTGTCTAATGCTGTAAACGTCAGCACTCTTTCTAGTTAGAGATTTCACACCTTTCTCAGCCAGACATCAAGAGACCCCCCGCACATACTTTCAAAGAAATCCTGTTTATTAATTTATGTTAGAGCACTGAAGATTGAACCCAGGGCCTTGCCCATGTGAGGCAAGCGCTCCACCACCGGCACATACCCCCAGCCCTAGAGACGCACTTAGGTGTGCAGGGAAGGATCTAGCAACTTCCCACAATACATGGCAAGAGGGAGATTTCGGGAAGGTCAGTGCCAGATCCAGTGGATAAGATGGATGAGGACACACCAGGCTTTTACGAGCTTGCCTTTCTCTTGAATGGCATCAGCAACATTCACCCTGCTTTTGATCATACTTTGTAAAGACACTTAGGCAGGAAGATTTCAAGAACTGCTTTAGGAAGTAGCAAAAAATGT